CATACATATATAAGATCACTTATGTAATTATCTTTTATTTTAAGGGTTAAGCCTATTGACATTATGAAACATTCAAAATCTGGCATTGTGCATTGATATTTCACATTGTTTTTTCAAAAATGTTAAAAATCTACCAAGAAAGACATCAAGAATTTGAGATAAAATATGTGAAATTTGCACTAAATAAAACTAAAACATAATGACTTTCCTAATGTAGAACTTAAACATTTTAATTTCCTAAATAGGACTTAATGACCTAGTGGGAGGAATAATGTTCAGTAATGATGAACATTTTACTTGAATGATGACTACTTTATAATGACCAAAGGTCCTACATTGAGAAATAAAAACATATGATCATATATTGGAAAAGTCATTATGTTTTAGTCAGGTAAATTTCTCATAAAATATTTCGCGCGAACATGCTCACATAAATAATGATTGTGTGTGCATCATTGACAATGACTATGAGTATATATTTATGAAATACTTCTTGTCGATCAATCTTAATAGGTTTTTAACTTGAATCTTGTTTTTTATATTAGACTTTGGCTTTTTAAAATCTATTTTTGTTATTAAAACATTGAACGTCTTACCAAATTCTCCCTTAGTCCCTTAAATATTGTATTACTTTTACTTTAGATAATTTAAGAAAATACACTCATTTTCTTTTGACAATAAATTATAACTAGTATTTCACCCGTGCGATGCACGGGAAATGAATATAATTACTCCCTCCGTCCTATATCTTTCTTCCCGTTGCACAAAACGAAGAAAAATCTCAAGTTTTTTCAATCTATTTTATTTAAATATTGGTATAGAAATAAAAAATAAAACATACATATTTAAAAACTACATCAAAAGTTTAACAAAGCAAGTAGTGACAAGAATATTTTATTTTATCATATAGGCCATGAAAAAACACAAATAAATATAAATTCCCGTAAAGTTGGAATAGTGCTCTGGGAAGAAAGTTTTAGGACGGAGGGAGTATAATTTGATAAATATATAATTTATATAAAGAATAAAATTTAAACTTTAAAAGTTTTAAAATGTCTAAATATAAATTATTGTCCAATAATACACATATTCATTATTATTCTATGTTAAATGCTATTAAACACAGAGTAAAAGACAAGAAAATTATTTTTATTATAAATTCTTCACTTTAGAAATGAAATGATTTATCTAAACGATTAATATCAATTGTCTCTTAATACATTACCCTTGGACCACTCACAAAGGTAGTATGCTTATATTTGTGTGTATCTTTGTAAATGTTTACACAAAGTTCACCTGATAATCAATATTATACTTTATTAAAAAATGGTGTAAGATGAATAACTCCAATGAAATATTTAGATACTTTTGAAATCTGCCACAAATTAATGACCTTAGTCTATGTGTTTTATCATTTCTGTTCATCAAATGAGGGATGATACATGTGATGAATAACATGACAATTCAAAGCTCTAATAATTTAATGGTCAAATCAAAGATGAACAAATTAAACATGGATTCATTTTTTGAACTGGTATGTATTTAATTTTGTCACATCTTCAATTAAATACGACACAAAGATTTTTTTTATTGTATAAATGTTACTTATAAGTCATGACATTAATTAATGAAGAATGATACAATGAACAATATCATAAACAAAGGTTTGATCATCTTGTTGAGAACAACATAAACATAATACTCTGTATATGACATACATACATTTTTTAATAAAAGAACAAAAGAAAACAAAATTTATACAACACATGGAGATTCAAGGCCAATATATAAAAGAAGAGCACTAAAGTAAGAAAAAAACCCTACAATAAATCCTAATTTCAAGAGAATCATATTAGTGCAACAT